GGTACCTCGGGGTTTTTTAACAACTGACCAGGCATTCTATAATCACCATTAGAATGTAACTCTGTTTGCCATTTTCCAAGGTCAGGCAGAGTAGCCCTGGGAATCTAGATTACCTGGGCTAGAAGTAATACAGTATGAAAAATGAACGTGGCAATCAATCATTAGTGTGGGTTTCAAGCAACCTCAGTAGAAGGCAAGCAGAACACAGGATAACATTCCTTCACATATACAGTGGAGTATAGCAGGAAAGGAGCTGGACCAGGATGCTTCATGCCATTATCTCTACTGCTGTCTGCTGCTTCAGCACAACCATCGATGTCAAAAAAGTGGAATGTTGATTCAATGGTACAGCCAAGATGCCATATTCCTTTGGCGACTCCAGGACAAATACTGACACTTCGGACCAAAGAGCCGGGGTGGAAGAGACTGCACACACTTTGCTATTTACTGTCTGACTAAACTTCACAGTGGATCCCAACATAAAAGAGACACCTGGCCGGGTGGTGGTGGCGCACGCCTTGATCCCAGCACTTGGGAGGCAGAGGCAGGCGGATTTCTGAGTTCGAGGCCAGCCTGGTCTATAAAGTGAGTTCCAGGACACCAGGACTATACAGAGAAAAACCCTGTCTCAAAAAAAAAAAAAAAAAAACCATCATAGCAGATTTTGCATAGCTGCCCTGAGGCATGACTAACCCAGAAACTGGCAAATTTCTTCTGTGCTTTCTCAGTTTCACAGCAAAACCACACCAATGGTCCAGAAAATCGGGCCTCAGTCTCCAAGAAGCTGGTCCGAGTGGAGATCTGGCTCAGTAGATGGATCGTGCCAGCAAAGGTTCACGTCACCATACTTTGCTTTCTGGCCCGGATGACGGGAGCTACTCACCTCATGTACTCATGTACTCATGTACGGTGCTACAAAAGTTTTGGGGTCAGGACTGGCCTTGCCAGAGCATACATTTCCTCTGGACCTACTAAGTAACCCCTGAGTTCAGGTACATTCTAAGAGTGCAGGTTTTTGGGATGGGGATTCACCATCACTGAATCATTTCCAACTTCCTGTAGTCAGTACTTCAGGTGCTGGGAACACAGGCCTAGGAGTGTGGGAAATGATTAGCTCTCGTGTGGGCACTCAGGCATGGGTTCTTGAATCTTGTTGGGCAGTTGTGATTCCCACGGCTCCAAAGAGACTGGAGCGAGGGAATTTCGACTGAGTTCAGTCCATGAGAGGCACCGGGCAGGCGCTGCGTGGAGAGTTCTCACTCAGTCTGAAGTTTCGAGGGGGCGCAGGGCTCTTTAAGTGGACCTGGAGGAGGCCAGTGGCCTCAATTCTAGGGCTCCTGGGAGGCTGCAGCAGAATGGAGATGCGACGACGAGAGGGGTGGGGGAGGGAGAGTGCTGGCAGTGCCCTGTGGGAGAGATTCAGTTACTGTACTCGGTTAGCAGACTTGGCCGCCTGGCTAGCTTGCTTGAATCGGCTGTCCCGTGGCTGGAACGCAGAGAGGTCCTCCGGGAAGCCCAGTGGCTGTGGCAGCTCACTAAAGGCCTTCTCTCTCCATGGTTCCAAACGGCTTTGTTTTCATAGTGGTTGGTAGTTGAATCTGGAAGCAACCCCACTTAGGTCAGGGAGGATCTGACTTAAATAGGGAGGGAGGATGGAGGAGGGTCTGGGAAAGGACTATATAATCGGCTATGTCCTTTGGCCTTTAGGTAACTCATTAATAGGGAAATCTCTTGAGCCTGAGGCCTGTAGTCACACCCTCTACCTTTGCTAGGTGATACAAACCTCTTTGGGAGGGGCTGCATTGCCTTGCATGACTGAAAAGCGTGGGCCAATGGAGATCTTAAGACTGTGTGTCAGAACTCTGGCTTCTGGGAGTGCAGCGAAATATATGCTGTCCCTCACAGGCATGGACACCTGTTGGGTCTCTGGGCTATTTCCAGCCAGTGCTTCTACCAAAACCCAAGCCATCCTTTCACTGCCCCACATAGGAGCACAACATCAGGGCAGGAAAGGAGTGAGGTAACACTTTTCCTTCCAGGCAAGAAGGTTCCTTGTAATGCTGGCAGGAAGGAATGCCCTGTCCTTAGGTTTAAACATCCAGGATATGGAGGCTGTTGAGTGGGTCTGTCAGATGGAAGGCATGCAGCCAAGCTCTCCGACAGCTGTAGCACACACATCTAGACAACACCTCAGCAGGAGGTTGGCCATGGGTAGATGTCATCTACCCAGACCTGTGTGGAGATCCCAGGACATCAGTGAGGATGACTCAGACATGATATCCAGCATCTTAGCCCCTGTGGGAGTCACTGCCTAGATGTGTGGTTAGCAGCCCTCTCCTGAGGTCCCAGATCCTCAGGATGCCCACAGGGGAGCTCAGTAAAGAGCTGACGGCCATAGAGTAGATCCAGTCTTCAGTCTGGATGCTGTCTGAGCAGGCCAAAGGTAAACCACACTGCAGAGAGAGACCTTGGTGCATCCCTATAAGGGAGTGATTGGACAGATCCTGTATTCATAGTTATTACTCATTTTAGTATAAATTTCTTTGCTTTTTGTCTTTCTTTAATTTTTTTTTATTTGTCAACTCAGAATAGCAGTAGTTGTTTAATCCAATAGAAACTGCCTAGGAGATAGGAGTTTCCATCAAATAATCTTCAGTTGTAAGAATTTGTAGGAAGTTAACTGTGAATGCTTTGCTTCCTATTGTGACACTGCCATTGTGGTAAAGTTCTATTTTGGTCAGTGGTTGTACTAACACATAGCTAGCTGTTTGCTGGGTTTTCTCTTTTCTGGTGCTTTAAAAATTTTTTGTTTGTATTGATTTAAAAATTTTGAATTTGTGCCATTATGAACAAACATACTATAGCACATATGTAAAGGTCAGAGGACAAGTTGGAGGAGTGGCTTCTCTCCTGTGTATTGACATTGACCTCAGGATATCACACTTGATTGCAAGTGTCCTTACTCACTGAACAAACTAGCTGGTTCCTCTCACAGTACTCCCTTCTGACCCACTTATTTCAGTATATTGGTGATAGTAGTTCTATTTTAATTTTGGGGTAGAAAATACCGGGCACCCTTTCTAGAGCCTCTCCCATGCTTGGCCAGCATCCACTGAGCATTATAGAAAAGTTATTTTGAGGAAGGCTCTTGTTAAGTTAACCAAGTATTTTGTAAACAAAGCCTGTAATCATATCAGGCCTTAAACCTACGATGCTTTTGACTCATTCATTCAGTGTAGTGGGATTCCAAGAACAGACCACCACTCTTACCTCTAAAATTCATGTGGGAAATTACCAATTTGTGTCTGTCATTTTTCAAAAAGTAGTTTAGCTAAATGTGTTTCAATTATGGTTTTTAAAACCAACTTTTGGTGTCATTAATACTTTGCTATTCCCCATTATGTGGATTTCATCTCCAACCTACTAGTCCTTCTTTCTCAGCCCTATCTTCCCATGCACTGATTCCGTCCTATTCTCATGTGTTTTTGTTTAGGCGGGAGGTGAACCTTTGGGGAGCTAGGCCTATCCAAGGCTTTCTCAGATGCCCTAGTGAAAGCACCAAAGGACATTACTTTTGTGACCTCTCCAAGGGCAGACTTGGGAAGGTCTGGTCTGGTGCTTGAGCGAGCATCTTGAAGGAGTCAAGGGAATCATCGTCTTCAGTTGTCAGTCTCATGGCCAGTGTGTGCTCACTCTGAGGTATCCTGTGTCCTTGTAGCCAACGTTGCTAAATTATCTTTCTGCTGATTGTCTCATTCTCTACCTATAGTGTATCAGAGCTGTTTATCATCTTAATAAACTTGCTTAACATGATCCAACACGCTATGCAAGACATACTGATGCCAAACTTTCTATTTTTGTCTTCTCATCCCAGGTTCTCACTCTGGTCACCTCTCCTTTGGGACCAGAATAGTTGGTGTTTGGGTTCATAGACCAAACCTGTTTAAACTTTGTTTTTTGAGACAGGGTGATTTCTTTGTGTATCCCTGACTGTTCCCGATCTCACTCTTTATGCCAGGCTTAAACTGTTGATGCCCTGACTCCACCTCCCAAGTGCTGGCATGATGAGCCAGTGCGACACTAAAGGCTGGGAATGGGTTAGTGTTTTGGCTACCAATGTTTACCTCAGAGAAGTGTGAGCAATGCCGAGGAGTCTCTTTAAAATGGATGATGCCTGGTGAATATCAACCAGGTGGTTTAAATTTGACCTGGACAGTCTGGGCGCCCTGTCAGCTGTGAGGCAGGTGGATCATTCCACTTCAGGTTGTCTACTGATCTGCGTATGCTAGAGACCTTGTGCCTAGATTAAGCAGCAGTGCCTACTGAGGGCAGTAGAGCAGGGACGACTTTGCAGTCTGGCTGTTAGGAAACACAATGTACTGAGGGGAAGTAGCTTTGGCAGACCGAACCGAAGTGTGTCCTGAGAAATTACGCCATGCATCTGGTGTAAAAAAGCATTATGGGAGCAGGGAGGGGAGGAGTGAGGTCCTGGGAAAGGGAATAGAGGCAGACAAGTGGACATGCAGACAGGCAGACAGACGTGGAGCAGAGCACTGAAGGTAGACAGAGAAAGGGAGCGCACATTGGGAACAGAGAGAAGGCCCGCTGAGTAGGGAGAGCTCGGGAGGCTGGCTGGTGGATACATTCATCCTCCAAACAGGCCAGGCGCACCTGGTGGCGTCAGCAGGGGGATGGCAGCCGATGATGACACAAGCCTCTGCTAGATCCCTGAGAGTAGGCTTGTGGAACCGCCTGTAGGCTAACAGGCGCAAGTTCTACGTCAACTCCAGTCTCTACAGGTCCGGGACACTTTTGTGCCTGAGCGAAGCCCAGGGCTGGGAACTACTGTGGTGTGACCCTTCTTTAGGGAGCTGTCACTCAGGCCTCACTAGCCAATCACAGCCTCCACACAGACTCGCCAGTCAGAGGGGGAGAGCACTTCCGTTCCTTAATACTAAAGGTTCGGGCTCGTGCCTGAGGGAGGCTCTTGTGGTTCCGTGTCCAGGTCTGTAACCTGCTGCTTGTAGCTGAGGAGATCGGGGCGAGCTTGGGATCCACGCCATGGTGAGCGGGGCTGCCGTCCCCACGCGGGGAGGAGCCGCGGGAGACTGTGTGGGGTTCGTCCCGGGGTGCGGGAACCGGGGGTCAGACCCGCGGCTTGACGTGATTCTGTTTGTTCTTCTGAGGTCACTGCACCTCCCAAGCGGAAGCAAGACGACTGACTGACTTAGATCCCCCGGCTGCGCCTGCGCAGAGTATGGGGCGCGGGCCCTTGAGTGAAAACAACGTTGTTGCTGACGTCACCATGCAGCGAGCGCCTCAGCTGCTTTTACTGTCACCAGGGAAGGCAGATGTGCTGACTCGCAGAACCCTAGTTTCTCTAGAGTCTTCTAGACGTTCTGCACGTGGCACCTGACGTTCAGGTGTAGGATCCGTCTGCAGTTAATTCTGTGCAGGTGCAAAGTCTGTGTTATTAACACACTGGCATGTAGATTCCTTGGTGGTCCAGTCACGTGTGTTAGGCCAGACTCACTGGGTTTCCTGGCCTCATTCATCACTATTTACTCCATTTTAATTCTTATTTTTTCTAAGTTTGCTCTCAGGTTCTGTTGATCTGTATTCTTCCCCAGAAAGTACTATGCAGTCCTGTTTTTCTGGTTCACTGAGAGAACTGGATGGGGAGGGAAACATACATACTTAAACCTGAGTTTGGAGGCCTCCAGTTGTTTAATCTCTTTTTTTGACAGTGTAGGGAAGGTTATATTAAGTAAGCCTGTATCCCAGCCAGAGGAATTGTCTACTCCCTATTTGGAAGAATTTTTTTTCTATCTCTTGTCTATTTTTTTTCTCGCTGTTTATATTTTCTCTTTTTGTTGCAGCTATTTTTGATGTGTTTTGTTTTGTTTTTCGAGGCAAGGTTTCTCTGTGTAGTTCTGGCTGTCCTGGAACTCACTCTGTAGACCAGGCTGGCCTCGAACTCAGAAATCCGCCTGCCTCTGCCTCCCAAGTGCTGGGATCAAAGACGTGTGCCACCACCGCCTGGCCGTTTTTGATGTTTTGAAGTTAGAAGTTGTAACTGTGTTCAGTATTTATCCGGTTTCGTGTGCTGATTATTTTTTTTTTCATTCATGGTTACTTATTCTCATCAGTTTCCTTGGGCATCAAAAGGGTGACACTTTTTATTGGGCAGTTGTTGAATTTGTAGCTCAAATTCTGCATTGTAATATAATATTAACATATTAACATACTAGCCAAGATGGCAGCATACTACACAGATGCCTTCTACTCAAGGTTAGCTCATTTCCTGCTAAGTGAGGCTATCCCCCATCAGGCACAGGTCCCTGATGGATGTACAGTTCTCAGAGGTTAAATATTCAGTGAATTTATAAGATGTCAAAGTTAAGAGATTGCCTTGAGTGTTCAAAGAAACTTTGGATGTTTCAACAGTGTTGGGATTGTGACATACTATGGAGGTGTTTGGTGTCAGGGTAAATGCTGTTGTTATGTATGTGTGTAATGTCCTATGCGAAAATGTGGTGGGTTGAATGAAACATGTTCCAGGTATGATGATGTATTTAAGCATTTGTCTCTGTTCTGTGGTCTTCACTGGGGTACTTACAGTTCCTTCCTAAAGGAAGGTAGTCCCTGGAATCGGGCTTTGAGTGTTAATACCGTCATCACACTTGTGTATTCTGTCTGGTGGAAACTGAGTAGCCCCCTTTCATATAGTGACACCATCACCACTTTTACAGACGCTATTCCTGTATAATGTTCAGTAAAATAGAAGCATTTTTTGGCAAGTCATTTTTCTAGCCTGATAGATTTATCTTCATATTTTTGTCTTGTTGAATTGTGTATTTCTATGTGTCTAATATTTGTTATTGTGCTGAGCTTCACTCAAATCTTAACTCATAACTTTGGCAGAGGGTATAATTTTTTTTACACCAGGATGGCATTCATACATGACATTAATACTGATCTCCAGAATTAGATTTATAGCATTCTCTCTGTATGTTTTTGTTGAGGTCTGGGATTAGCCACATACTGACCACTCAGACACCAGTCTCAGATATAATGAAAATGTATTGAACACTTACGATGGATCAGGACCACAAAAAGTACTTGGGAGCCTAGATGTGGTACTGTCTGTTCTCAGGGCAGGCGTTTTATAGGAAAAACCATGATCAAAAGTTTATAAGGTAGGCACAGAAGTGGTACAACATTTTTGGCTAGCTAGACAAAATATTATCAGCTAAACTTTAAGCTGATTGGTCCTAGGTGAAGTAAGAGAGGTGATGGATAGGTAGTGCACGGGGGAATTTCAGAACACTGAGATAACAGTTCGGTGGTTTGTATATGCTCAGCTCAGGGAGTGGCACAATTAGAAGGTATGGCCCTGTTGATGTAGGTGTGTCACTATGGGTGTGAGCTGTAAGAGATCCTCATCCTAGCTGCCAAAAGCCAGGATTCTAGAAGCCTTCAGATGAAGATGTGGAACTCTCAGCTCCCCCTGCACCCTGCCTGCTTGCATGCTCCTATGTTCCCACCTTGATGATAATGGACTAAACCTCTGAATCTATAAGCCAGCCCCAATTAAATGTTGTCCAATTAAATGTCCCAATTAAGAGTTGCCTTGGTCATGGTGTCTACTGACAGTAGTAAAACCCCAAGACACAGAGCATAAGTAATTCAACCATAACTTTTTGGTTTGTTAGTAACATGTTTCTGTGTCAGTTAAAGTAATAACTCCTAAAAAGGATGAACTTATTTTCACCTTATGTGCAACACAGAGGCTACATACAAAATGGCTACAATTATGTCAGGCCACTTCAGTTTTTTTTTTTTTAACTTTTAAAATATGTGCTTGAGTCTTTTGCCTATATTTATAGATGCGAACCATGTGAAACTCTGGTGTTCACTGAAGTCAGAAGAGAGCATTGGATTCTCCTGGCCAGGAATGATTGGGAGCCTCAAATTGAGGCCTGGGTTTAATCCAGGTTCTTTGCAAAAATAAGTGATCTTCATTGTAAAGTCATCTTTTCATAGCTTATTATATTTTTGTTGGTGTTGTTAATGTTTTATTTTCTTAGGATCATTATTGTATTAGTCTTTTTGAGAACCCTTTGACTGTCAGTCAGTAACTTATTAAAATTGCACTTTTTATAGGAACACTATAGTAGCATTATAGTCTATACAAGGTCCCTCCAGTTTCTGACAGACAAGTACGTTTCTGGAGTGAGTGTTTAACTCTTTGGAGGAATGTTGTGAGTCCCTGTGTGCTTTCTGTCTATTTTTTGTATTTTTCTTTGGGACAGGGTCTCCTTATGTCCCTTTGTCTTGAGGATCACTACATAGAACAGGTTGGCCCCAAAATTAGAGATTCACTTGCCTTTGCCTCCTGAGGTCTGAGATTAAAGGTGAGTGCCACCACACTCATCTTTTTCCTCCATTTTTGAGGTTAGTAATTTTGCTCAATTATGCCCCTCTGTTTGTCTGTCTTTGAATATGTTAGTAGGCATTTCTCCTGCAAAGTCCTCCTTATTCAGTGTGAATAGAAATGAGAGGCATTATTCTCCTTTACTGTTTCTTTCCAAAATGAGTTGGTGATTGCATTTGAAACCTCTGACTTGGAATTAATATGTTAGGCACACAGAATTATGTAAATATATTTTCAATGAAGTGCATTTATAATGCAGTCAGTCTCATTATTTCTATTACATATATATGTATTCTTTATATATTTAAATATATATACCATATATATAATATATGATGTATATATATATATCATATACACACACACACATACACACACACACACACATACATACATACATGGTATACTTTAGGATGCAGTGACCTATGACGATGTGCATGTGAACTTCTCCCGAGAAGAGTGGGCTTTGCTGGATCCTTCTCAGAAGAGTCTCTACAAAGATGTGATGCTGGAAACCTACTGGAACCTTACTTATATAGGTAATAATGTGAATTTTTCTTCACCTTTTAACTTAGGGGACAAGCCTTTGTTAGAGTTGGGTGCTCTTCTGTGATTTTGATTGTGAAAGAGGAAAAATGTGAATAAATTGGGCATTATAAGGGTCACAGAATATAATAATTTATATTTTGCGTAATTTCCAGTAATATACATTTTGGTACTGTGTTTTAGGCTACATATGGGAAGACCACAATATTGAAGATAATTGTCAAAGTTCTGGAAGACATGGAAGGTAATTTTCATGTCATGTGCAAGCAGATACATATGTGCTTCTAAAGAAATTTTAATGTACCTTGAATTTTATTTATTTATTTATTTATTTATTTATTTATTTTTAGGTTTTTCAAGAAAGGGTTTCTCTGTGTAGCCCTGGCTGTCCTGGGACTCACTCTGTAGACCAGGCTGGCCTCGAACTCAGAAATCTGCCTGCCTCTGCCTTCCAAGTGCTGGGATTAAAGACATGCACCACCACTGTCTGGCTAAAGAGACATAATGTTTTTTTAAATATTTATTTTATGTATATGAGTACACTGTAGCTGTCTTCAGACACACCAGTAGAGGTCATCAGATTCCATTACAGATGATTGTGAGCCATCATGTGGTTGTTGGGAATTGAACTCAGGACCTCTGGAAGAGCAGTCAGTGCTCTTAACCACTGAGCCATCTCTCCAGCACCATACCCTGAAATTTTAATGAAAAAAAAAACAAAAAACAAAAAACGTTTAACAAAGCATAGCTTTGTAAGGCTTATTAAATTCTCACAACACCATATTTCTCAATGTCAGGTATTTGATAAGTGTTTAAAAATTATTCCTTTAAGAAACAGGAAAGGGCACAAGGCCTTAACAGATGTCACAGTTTCAATCAAAGGCACTTGAGAACCCTGTTGTAGTACTGTCCTTTGTTGTGGGACATTTGGTCACATTCTGAACCCAAGATTGTGAACTGGAAAAACCTGTTTGTTGTTGTGGTATGGCTCAGGTCTGGCACACACCTTTAACCCAAGAGCTTTCTGTAAACAAGTGTTTAGTAAAGTGAATGAGGTAGAGCTATTGACCAGTTGACAGGGAGAAAACCCAGGAAAGGAAAAGGAGGATCTTTGAGTTCAAGGGTATTTAAGATAGCATGGAGCAGAAGAAGGAGCTTTTGCTTCTGTGACATTGGTGGAGTAGGAAGGTCAGCTGGGTGTTTTCTCTGCCTCCCTTGAGCTAGCAGGCTTTCACCACAGCTTCTGGCTCCCGAGTCTTCATTTGGTAAATTTAATGTTTGGGATTTTGTTTTAAAAACTACAGTCCATCCATTTAGTTTTACACTCTTCAAATATCAGAAAATGTAAGCATATTGGTTAGGGGATTAATGTATGTCCAAGACCTGTTTTAAGCAAATCCTCCTCAGTAAAGCTAGTGTTACTCATATACTTGTAGGGTGTATCATAGTATAGTGCGAGAGGTCGTTTATGAGAGTCAAGAAGGTGCAGTAGTAGAGATCCTTGAATCCCTAAACCACATGTGTCTGAGGAACAAAAGGTTAAAGTGTATGAATATAAACATCTTTTACTTTTTATTCTTCCTTTAATAGGTATATCAACTGTCCCTCTGGATATGGAAAGAAGCAGTGTACCTCTGATCTCTTTCCTGGAACAATTAGAAGATATGTAGTCATTCCCTTTGTGAGAAGAGGAGGTGAATGGGATACAAGTTTACAAGTACTTGGCTTTCCAGCTTCAGTGGGAATACATCAAAATACTGACATTGGAGAAAAGCCCTATGAGTACAAGAAAGGTGGAAAGTCTTCTGTCTGTCCTGGTTCACTTTGCACATGTAGTGTGACTCACACTATAGGAAAATGTTATGAATGCAATCAGTGTGGTAAATCTCTGAGTTCTTCCAGTCCTCTTCAGAGACGTAAGCAAACTCATATGGGAAAAGGAAGTGATCAATGTGAGCCAAGTAGTCAAAGCTTAACTCATCACAGGTGTCTTCAAATACAGAAGACAACCTACAGTGAAGAGGACCTCTGTGAGTGGAATCAATGTGGTAAATCCTCTTTACAGTTACACCGAAGAACTCATTTGGAAATGAAATGCTGTGAATATAATCACGAAGACAAACTCATTACACACCAGAATAGTAATCAAGTAGGTAGAACTAATACTAGAGACACAAAGCATGACTACCATCAATGGGGTAAAACCTTTGCATGTTCCAGTTATCTTCAAATACATGAAATAATTCATCCTGGAGAGAAACCCTTTGAATGTAGTCAGTGTGGTAGAACCTTTACAGGTCACAGTACTCTTCAAATGCACGAAAGAATTCATACTGGAGAGAAACCCTATAAATGTAGTCAATGTGGTAAAACCTTTGCATGTAAGAGGTATCTTCAAATACATGAAAGAATTCATACTGGAGAGAAACCCTATAAATGTAATCAGTGTGGTAAGGCCTTTGCATGTAATAGTTATCTTCAAATGCATGAAAGAATTCATACTGGAGAGAAACCCTATAAATGTAATCAATGTGGTAAAGCCTTTGCATGTAACAGTAATCTTCAAAAGCATGAAAGAACACACACTGGAGAGAAACCCTATAAATGTAATCAATGTGGTAAAGCCTTTACATGTCACAGTACTCTTCAAATCCATGAAAGAACACACACTGGAGAGAAACCCTATAATTGTACTCAATGTGGTAAAGCCTTTGCACGGAAAAGGTATCTTCAAATCCATGAAAGAATTCATACTGGAGAGAAACCCTATGAATGTAATCAATGTGGTAAAACCTTTGCATATAGCAGTAGTCTTAACAAGCATGAAAGAACTCATACTGGAGAGAAACCCTTTGAATGTAATCACTGTGGTATAGCCTTTGCATGTCTTAGTACTTTTCAAAAGCATGAAGGAATTCACACTGAAAAAATCCCCCAGCAATCTAAGAAATGAGGTGTAGCCTTGCATACTACATTCATTTTCCCATCTCAATTTCTCAGTGGTGTTTGATTAAGATTAGTAGAACCATTTCTTCATTAAAATATTGTTTCATTTTCAAATTTTAGATATATTGTCACTCCAAAATATAAGAATACCAGACAATTTGAATAATAAAATCTATTTGTGAATCAAAATATTTATATTGTCATTGATTATATTTTGGATTATTTTAGTTTATTCTATGGCCTAAAATTTGTTCTTAACACTTTCTCAGAAACACAAGTAAATGATACACCTCTGCAATGGTGTGCATGTGCCTATTACAGGACAAGTTGGAAGTGTGTGCTTTTTGTAGTCTATGTGAGTACTAGATATCAAACACAGCTAGTTAAGTTTGGCAACAAAAACCCTAAACTGAAGAGTGAACTCACTGGCCCTTATTTAAGTTTCAACAATATTTGTATTATGTACTGCTGTGTGGGTATGCATACAAACCAAGTGTAGTATTCAGAGAAAAATTGAATGAGTAACGTGGATGTCCAAAAGAATGAACTCGGGTCTTCAGCCTTAAAAGAAACAATGTTTACTCCCTCAGACAGTTCTCTATCATTTACTTGTGTTTCTGAGAAAGTGTTAAGAACAAATTTTAGGCCCCTTTACATGGTGGCTCTGCTTTTCTGTCCTGTACACTCCTCTGGCATGGTGTTTCCCTTTTTCTCCTCCTTTCAGTCCCTAGCTGATCAATCTTACATCCCACTTCTGTCTCTACTCCCCAGTTATTGGCTGCTGGCCCTTTATTTACCAATCAGAATTAATTGGAGACAGGTTCCCAGAAGCTACATGCAGACCCTCTCATGCAAACTGTTTTTGGGACCCAATTAGCATTAGAATACAAGCAGCTACATTTCCCTTTTTGTACAATTAAAAAGGCTCTTTTCTCTCAGATATACATAGAACACAATTATCCTAACTTAAAAGAGTTCACAATTCTGTACCTCAGTCATGTTTAATTTCAACTTGTATTAACATCTGAAAACCATCATTTCAAATCTTGAACATCTTCCTTAATGTTAAACAACTTAAGTTCAATCATGAAACAATAATTAGTCTTCAATCCTGTCAGTGATCTGAGAAGGAATTAATATTACCTGAAATGTAGGAAGCACAAAGACATATTTCCAAAACTTATACAATTTGTAGAGCTATCTGAATGTCTGGACAGTCGCCAATATTATAATGTTGGAGCATCTGTCTTCAGCCTTTTGGCACAGAACCATCTGACAGGCCTTAAGCAAAGCAGGAATTATGAAGTACTAGTTTACTGTGACTTGGCAGAGGATGGCAGTCGACTATCCTGCATTCATTTGTCTTTTCTGGACAATATTCTGTCTGCAGATGAAATCAGGCATTTCTTGTTCAGTGGCTATCTTTCTACACTTGGAACAACTACACCTGTGTGTAATGGTACTCACTATCTCCTTTGAAGTGGGATGAGGGTACTGTGAGGAGTAGGCATGTCTCCTAGTCAAAAGATCTGTTAATGAAATTATTTTAAATGCCACATTCTGTGGATCTGTGATGCTTTTGAAGACCGTCTGTCTATATATAGTATAACTTAATTTTTAAACTTTGATTACTCTTAGCTATTTACTATTTGGGTTGTCTTGAAAACACTTTATTGTTATTAAATTAAAATTTAATACTACCATGAATTGACTATCTGACCATTAACTTGCATTACTTAATCATAGTCAGTTTGTAATAGCAGCAATTAAAAGGACTGGGTCAAAGCCTTGTATTCTTTTTTTTTTTTAAAGATTTATTTGTGTGTGTACATATATATATATATATATATATATATATATATATATATATATAT